GTTTCTGCTGTTTAGGGAGGCAATACATTTGAATCCAGAGCCTGTCTGCCTCGCTCCTCTCCACTGTGCCACCCTCATGCACAGCCAGATGCCACTCAAAACTGGGTGGCCAAGGGCAGAGGCCGAGCAGGAGCAGAAATTTAGTGCAGTGGGAGACTCCTTACAGCTACTCGGGAGGAGCTGGCAGTCCTGGGATAGCAGCGACTGCTGTGGAGGGAACAGTGGATGGATGTGGGGAGAGGCACCACCGACAGGACGCGATGCTGACGTTCAACCAGTGGAACTTACTCTCATGTGAGTTGCAAGGGAGGCTGGGGAATTCTTGAGTGCCCAGGAAAAACGGAAACAGATGCTGGTGAGCAGCTGACATGGTCTGCCATGCGTTTGGGGTACAGGAGGTGGCCAAAACAGGCTGTGGGCATCCAGCTGCATTTCTTTTGATGGTGGATACAGCAGCAACACTTGACTCCAGGCTGCCTGCTTTCCCTCTGCCTGGGTGCTGGGCACCAGGAACGCCTGCTAGGTGTCTGTCTTCCTTTTTGGTTGTCCTCTTGGGTCCCTGGACAGCTCTCATGGAGAGGCTTATATATTTGCTGCACAGAAAACCCCTACTTTTCTCCAATGCTGGTGAAAGTGTGGCTCACTTGCAGTGGCCCTTTTCCCACAGCCCCAGGAACCTCCTACCACCTTTGGCCTTCCCATGTTTGCCTCCAGTCACTCCAGGCACATAGGGAGCTCTGTGAGATTCGCTCCATGACCCCTCACAGGCCTAAGATGAAAGGACACACTTCTCTTCCCTCTCCAACACCCTTCTCTGCAGTAGGAAGGACATGCCCTGGCATAGCCACTCCCCTTGGCAGAATCTCTCACGTGCCACCCTCTCTGAGCCCTACTTCCCTTCTTCAAATCCTGAAGGCCACCAGAAGCTCTGACGTGACCAGCCGTCTCAGCTGCCTGCTGTTCACAAAATATTGTACAAGGCAGAGTGAGCCTGTACTCCCTGGGAGAAGGTACTGCAACTGTGAGAGGCCTTTAGAGTTGTGCTCCATCTTTAACAATCTTGTCAGTTTTGCATTCTATTCCAACTATGCTTGTTTTAGAATAAAAAAAAGTCAGGATTCTTCTGATTTCTGAATAAACTTAATCTTCCAGGAAGACACAATGTGTGCCCTCCCCCGAGACTTTGCACCCCTTTGAGGTGAGAGCAGGGGCTGTATGCAAAAGCGAGGGGCCTATTCCTGAGGTCCAGGGACAAAGCAAACTGGCACCATCACCGGGGAAGTGAGAAACACCGGGGCACAGTAGTTCAGCACCGAGCTTCGGTGGGCTGCTAATGGCAGGTGGTTGCCACAAAACGTCTCCTGCCCTGGGATGCCCCAGAGGTGGCCCCTCCACTGCCATATGGAGGGGGCTGACGTGTCATCAATAGGGCAGGAAATTAAATTTGTGTCTAAACTACAGGCAGGGAAAGATGGACATCTTGTGGGCACATGGTAGCATTACCTCACAGGTCTGAAAATTAATCTAACATCATCAGATAATATCCCTGAATCTGTAGACTGCTAGTGTTGCGAACTACTTTATAAAACATCTCTTGAGGATGTACAGGAGAAAAGAAAATGCATTAAATTAAAGAGCAGCTCTTCATAAAGCTAAGAAGAGATAGCTATCCATTTTGAGAAATGATTAAACAAAAAAACCTCCTTGGCTTCTATACCAACTCTACAGGCCATTTCAGTGAAAGCATATATTAATAAATTAAACATTCAGTCACTTCACAGCTATGTTATAGTCTAAAGAATTTGTTTCATGAAGTTGTCAAGGACCTGGAAGGTGATGATGTGGGTGTGGGGCAAGAACTGGACTTTAACAGACACTAGAGGCACAGGGAAGCTCCCAAATCAGAGTCCAAAATCCAGATGGTCTTAGGACAGTTGGACAGAAAGCACAAAGTTCTGTTTTCCAGAATAAAAAAAAATGCCATGAATAAATTGTTAACAACTACTCTCTCTATGGTAGATGCTAAGGATTCAGCCCTGTCCTCATCACTTTTTACCTAAATTACAGCCAATCCTCTGTAAGAATCTACCAGCTCACATAGGTCACTAGCTTAAGAATTTAAAGCCAGGCATGTTGTTCCAAAGCCACTGTCCATCTCTTTCTTCGGTATAGACGTTTGTTTCCATCAAGATGACAAAACAGGTGTGGCCCATCACGTGGGAAAGAGGAACAATGCAGTTTTCAGCACTCCTCAGTGAGTGACCTACTCAGTTTCCTTTATTTCCTGTAATTATACCTGTTTTTGTACAGACTGGAGGGTTGGAATGATGTTTATATTTTAAAAGGTTCTTTAAAAAAAATGACAGAGACCAATATGCAACAGAGCCTTTGGCTCCCAAAGCCTAAAATATGATATTTACTATGTGGTTCTTTATGTAGAGTTTGCCCACCCTGCATTACACAAAACACTTTCATCCTTTAAACGTCTTAGAACTGATTTTGAGAAAGGCAGTAGAAACAAATGCACTTTCATTTTTGAACAGAAGTGTTTGTTCTTATTACCTGTCATTTAATTGCAACAAATCTGATTCACTCTGATATTCATTGAGCACCTACTCTTGTACAGCACTTTTCAGGATTTAAAAGGAAAATTCTGCCCTACGACATAAAAAGTTGCTATACTCCAAGTCAAAATGTACTGTTATAAAACATTACTCAGTGCTAAGGGGTGAAAAGGAGGCAGGCCTTACTTGGAGATGTGGAGGACAAATGTGGGCTCTAGAAGAATATGTGGACCACCACATCTAGAGCTGGGAGGAAGGTGTTCCAGGCAAAGGGAAGAGAAGGACAGGTTATGCAAAAGCAGGAAGGCAGCAGTGGTTCTGAGTTCCCGCAGTGGTACATGCGTAGTAGCTGGAGCTGAACCGAGGAGAGGGAGATAAAGCTGTACAGTAAGCTGGTGCCTCCCCCACTGAGGTACTCCAGAAAAAAATTACTAATTTAGGAAACCTTAAATAAAAAGGAAGTTACTCTGAAACTCTCTGGGACCAGAAGTTAGAAATATAAAGTCATTAGGACCCACACAGGTCTCTCCCCTTTCTCTAATGAGTCATGTGAACACTGAGAACGAAAACACCTACTAAAATGGGCTCTTGGTGGGTAAGCAGGCAAAATAAATAAATAAATAAATAAATAAATAAATAAAAAGTCTATTAGCCATTTCTACACAGAGGCCTCTCACACAATCTGCACTTCAGGGAAAAGATTGCACTGAATTCCTGCCTACACTGTTTCTGCCATCTGAGCCAGCCATTACAAAGGAGTTCCTGGAAGCCTATTTCCACCAATAGGACTGAGGCTTTCCCCATCCAACCCAAGCTGCACACAAGTGCCTTTGGACTAATCACAATGGGAGAATTTGGAGTCTTCATTTGCATGACAGATCTATCAGGGGCTAAGGGTGGGGACTTCTGGCCATATAAGCCTCAGAGAGCACCTCTCCCTTCCACCTAAGAGTGGGTCTCCCTAAGATGCAATGGGGAGTAGAGAGGAGCAAACTAGCAAACCGGTGTAGCAGACCAATGCAGCATGGAGCAGAGCTGTCTAGCTGGAGGAAGGCCTGGCCCCAGAGCTGCCTCACAGCCTGCTGTTTTCACAGCCAAGCTGTATCACAAGTTAGCTGTTTTGCAGTGAATATCATTCTTCACCACACCCCAAGTTGAAGATTCCTGTTGGCGTCTGTCTTCCAACGTGTGTCGGCATCCCCCTGCTCTACATCTGTTCATTTCATTTCCTGTTTAGTCCTACTCTTGTTTTCCACGCATCTGCATCAGTTAGTAAACTTCCTCAGTCAGATACTGGGCTAGCTTAGGTGTCAATGACAAGAACTCTAGCTATCAGCCAGAGTGTGTAGTCAAGGGGAGAAATCCTGGCTGCTTTCCTGGAAGGGGAATTTCCAGTTGCAATTTCCATCCTAAAGACTTAGGAAGAAGCTGGTAAGGTCAGCAAATCCTCTTAGCACATAAAATACTTGTAATGACTGCTAAGAGTTTAGACTATAACTAGATATCAGGGAAGCCAGGTTGGTTTCTGATATTAGGGATGGTAACTCCCTGTGATTATTGAGATTCTGGTGGCGGTGGATAAGGAACTGGAGAAACAAAAAACTGCGGTTCAAGCAAAAGGATCGGGATCCTGAAGTTACCCAATAATTGTGGCCAGGGGAAGAATTTCTTTTGTTACCCCCTCCCAAGAGGTATTAAAATGACACTTGACATAGGCTGGCTAGTCACCATGAGCGGTGACGGGGTCGCCAAGGACTAGGCCAGGCGGGGCAGCCTTCCGCACTGGTGGGTGGCAGTGCCCACAGCGAGAGCTTCACGAGGGATGCTGCGGGGATGGGCCTGTGAACCAGGTCCGGGAGCGATGGTTGAGGGGGTCAAGTTGGACCGCAAAAGGAGCACAGCAGGCGAGGGTAGCTGCCGGGAAGAAAAACATTCCTGGAGGAGGAAAGGACCACTGACAGCGAAGGCCGAGACTAGGTGATAAAACCCACCGGGCGCGGCCGAAGAACCGCTCGGGTCCGCCCGTCGCGCGGAGCGTCGGGAACTGTAGTCCTCGGGGCTCCACCCAGACGGGCTGGACTCGCCCAGCGCGGCTGCCTCTAGTTATAAATCGCGCACTTACCAGTTGAGGGTAAGGTCCTCACAGCGCAGGAGACGCCTTATATGACATCATCACAGGTCACCTCCCCTTAGTTGAAGAGTTAGGTGCCTATGGAAAGTCTGTCATGCAACAAGCCGGTAATAAAATGTTATCTCGGAAACAGCGAAGGGAGTGCACCTCAGATGCCTCTGCTCTTCCTGAATTTTCTTTTGTGGACGTGGCCGCCGCCGCATCAGCACGGCTGTGCTCCCTATTTTGCTCCGGCGGAACCTTAGGCCACCCCAAGGAGAGAGGAGGGGCGGGGCCAGCCAGGGCGGGGCGGGGCCCTGGCCAGGCTGCGTCGCGCTCGGGGGCCGCACCGGGTAGCGTTTCTGTCTAGTGCCCGAGGCAGCTCTGGCTCAGGGAGCCTTTAGTCTGCTCCACGGGGACTTCTGTGCACGGATGGACCCGCCGGGATACGGCGGGAAGCGGCCTGGCAGGCGGCGGCCCCGGCGGCGTCAGCAGAGGCACTACAGGGCTAAGGCCGCGGGTCCCTGAGGCGTGCGGGTCCATCGGGCCCGGCGGCGACACCATGATGCCGGGCGAGACCCACTCGGCGGCTCCCGGAGCAGCGGCGGATCTCTCACGGTGTCAGGGCTGCGCCTCCCTGCAGCAGGTGCGGTGCCTTCCCGGAGCCGAGGGCGCGGGGGGACTCGGTGGACCCGTGTGGACGCGGCGCTGGAGGTCTGGCCGCGGGGGCCGTGTCTCTGCGCGCTGCTCTAGCTTCTTGGTGGAAGCTTTCCTCCCCTTCCCCCGGCCCCCGGTTTTCCCTCCTCTTTCTACGGTAGTTTTTTTGGGAATGGTTCACCTTGGTTTACATAGGACTGGAACCCCGGATTCATGTACGGGGATGCAATGGTGGGGTGGAGTAAGGGAGTTCTGGAGGGCCTCCTCATACACGTACCCAACCTCACGGCTCCCCAAGGCTTACATTTAGGTTGGTGACTGATAGGTGAAATGTTGAAGGAATATTTTCCTCCGAGGATAAAGCTTTTACTTGTCCCGGCCTGTTTTTAAATATTTGTTGCCTGGAGGCAGGTTCTCCTGCGACAGTTGGGTTGGCTGGAAGGGTCTTTTATCAATTGAAGGCATGCAGATGCTGGAAGTTTCTGGCGGTTACGTGGACTGTTCTGTGTAGTGACCGAAGAGGGGTTACTAGTGTCTGGCCCCAGGTCTTGTGAGGTTGTAAAACCAGCCCCAAGTATTCGTTTCCAGCTAGAACTTTCTAGCTGTCTGATGTTAGGGATCTTTTAACTTTTTAATATCAGTGTCTTCAGTGGTAAATTGGGGCTATCCACCCTGATACCTATTAGATGTAATTCAGTGGCCATCTGTTTTGTATAGTGTGCTAGGCACAAGGGGTGCATAGTGGGGAAAAAATAGGTAAGATCTGTTGTCATAAGTAAGATATATGTGTGCAAATAAGACTTGAGATGGTCTTAAGTCTTAGGAAGAAAATAGAGGAGGAGTTGAAATAGTGGTCTTGCTTCTTGGCTAGAGTGGCAGGCGGGGTGTTTTTGAGAGAGTGACATTGGAGATCTTGGTGAGAAGGAGCAGACTGAATAGGTGTGGGGTGCTTTCCAGATAGAGGGTGGAAAGGTTACTGAAGTGAGAAGGAGCACAGTGCCTTTGAGGAGAACACGGTCTGGTTGGTGTGAGTGCGTGTTGCAGAGGGGAAGATTGCTGATGAAATGGGACCAGAAAGGAATGTGGGACTGATAGGCCACCAAGAAAAGCGTGTGTGTGTGTGCGCGCACATGTGTTATCTATGAACTGACCACAAACATTTTAATTGTTAAGAGCGGGAGAAGGAGAGAAGGGAGTCATATGCTGGTATTCTGGACTAGAAGGAGATCTAGTAAAATCATGGAATTAAGCTGCATATAAAGCATTTACAGTGTGGTTTTCTTTTTTTACTTTTCAAAAACCTGGGAACATGAGTGAAATTATGATGACTCTGATAAATTATATTTATTATTTGGGCCAGCTTATTCAACAAATATTTGTTGATCATGTGCTGTGTTTCAGACAGTGCAATTACAGCTGTGAGGGGAAAAGATAAATAACCTTGCTCTCTTGGAGCTTCCATTCTTAGGAGGTGGGGGGAAGAGACAAACAAGTTATGTGAGAAGGTAATAAACACACTGAAGGTAAATAAAGTAGAGAAGAGGGGAGAAAAAAGTGGGGGAGAAGGGACCAATGGCTGGAAAGGCCTCACAGAGAAGGTTATGTTTGAGTGGGTTGGGGGGTGGGGGTAGAGAATAAGCTCTGTAGATTCCTTGGGAGAAAAGCATCCTGGACAGTGAAAAGACAGGTGTGGAGGCCTGATGCAGGAGCTGTCTCATGTGCTTGGGAAGAGAAAGGAGGCTGTATATCTGGGGTAGAGCGCATGTTGGTGTCTTCATCTGCTTCATTGGCCTGTAGTAACAGAAACTTATTTCTCATAGTTCTGGTGGCTGGGAAGTACAAGATTAAGGCACCAGCAGATTTGGTGCTGGTAATGCCCTGATTTCCTGTTTAGGACTGCCTTCTGGCTGTGTCCTCAGGGCAGAAGGGGGAAGACGGTCTTTTATAAGGACGTTCTTCTATTCATGAGGGCTTTGCTCTTATGACCTACCTAACTAATTACCTCCCAAAGGCCTCAAGTCCAAATTCCAGCACATGGAGGATTAGATTTCAACATACTAATTTTTGGAGGGCGGTGGGGGGCACAGTCTATAGCGGTCAGAAGATCTGAAGTTCCATAATGGAGGAACTGATCATTCAGGTCATTGTAATCATTGTGAGGATTTTGACTTGTACTCTGAAAGAATAGTGAGCCATTGGACACTTTTGTTTAGGAAAGAAACCCATGTGAATTATCCTGTTCAGTAGTGGATCTGACCTTCCTTCCAATCCTGTTCTCCCCATAGAAGGCCCCATTTTGCTTAAAAGTAGCAACTGTAGCCTTCTCGTTACTTAGGCCAGAAACTATGTCATCCTTAATTCCTCTCTCTCAAACCTGCATCCAGTCCGTCAACTGATTGTATTTGCTCTGTCTTTGTTACCCATTGGAGGCTTTTGGGCAGGAAAGAAACCAGTGTGATTTATTCTGTTCAGTCGTGGATCTGATCTTCAAAACCTGTTCTACTCACAGTAGGCCCCATCTTGCTTAAAAGTAGCAATTGTATCCTTTTCGTTACTTAGCCAGAAACTGTGTCATCCTTAATTCCCCTCTCTCAAACCTGCTTCCAATCCATCAACTGATTCTGTCGACTCTTTGTTACCCATTCACTTCTTACCATCCCCACCACTTCTACTCTTGTGTCAGTGACTATAATCTGTTGCCTGCAGATTATTCCAGTAGCCTCCTAAAGAGTCTGCCTTCTTCCACCCTTGCCACATTCCCACTGTTGGTTCTCAAAACAGCAATAGGAGTAATCTTGTTAAACCTCTAAACCCAGGTGTCTGCTGGCTTTTTCTGTAGGGAGCAAGTTCTTAAATCTGTGGTGCTGTGTTGGTCTTGTTCATTACTACCCAACTCTGCCATTGTAGTGTAAAAGTAGCCACAGGCCATACCTGACCACATTCCAGTAGCCACAAGGAATGGGTGGGTTGTGTTCCATCAAAATATTGTTTACAAAAAACAGGCTAAAGGCTTTAGTTTGCAGGCCTCTTCTTTATCTCTGGACACACCATTGCATTTGGGTTTTCTGTTATGTGAAATGTGTTTGTTTGTTTTAGGGAAAGAGGGTTAATAGAGTCTCTGGAACAAATCTTCATATTGCAGAGTAAGGCTGTAAAAATAGATTCATGGTAGATTATAGGGGACCTTGAATGGTTAACACCTTACCATTTTGTTCTTATTTCTGTCAGCATTATGGAGTGGTGAAGGGTTCTGCATAGTTACCACATAAGAGCAGTTCTTACAGTAAGAATGGCATGTGATAGTGAGCAGAATGGATTGGAGGAGGTGCAACTAGCTCTTGTAAATTACCTTGTTAATGCATACCAGTGATAATAAAAGCCTGGGTTCATTGAAATTTCCTAGGCCTGGGAATGGAGGAGAGAAAGGTTCTGATGGTGAGAAACTGCAGAATGGATAGATCTCAAGCCCGGGAGATAGAAGGGGCAGAGATTTAAAATCTGAGTGGCTGGGAGACCTGTGGTAGAGGCAAGAGAAAGCAAAACCAAGTCAGCAGAGGCATTGGAAGTGTGGGGATGAAATTTTGGAATGACCTGGGGACTCAGGATTTTCCCCTCTTTTCACATTTGTTGCTTGTGAAGCACGGTGCTCCAGGGTACACTAACATACTTCCAGGGAATTAGAGAAGAGGTCCCATTGGATGAGTGCTGAGTTCATGGTAAGATTTTATTTGGTGAGTGGTAGGAATAGGACAATGGAGGAGCATGTTCTCGTCACTTAAAAGAAACTTTGAAGACCTTTGTGTCAATCCATGGGACTGCATGCCATCCTGAGGAGCCAGTGAAGGAATGAGGAAGGTGAGTGTGGAATGGTGAGAAGGAGAGACAGATGTGCAGGCAGTGTGTATGGGCACTCAGCTTAGGAAAGCATGAGGGTGGAGAACAGGCCATTGGATTTGCCAATGAGAGGTCAGTAACCACCTTAGGAAAGACATTTCTGTAGTGTTCCATAGTAGAACATCAAGTTCTGTGCTCCACTTAACTGTGCCAGAGAGAAACTGAAGAGGTTCTATACAGAGAGACGGTAGCATCTTGCTGTGTAGTTTCAACACGCTGAAACTTCTGGATTTTGCAGAAAATGTGCAAGCATGTGACAGGCACCTTCCCTGCAGGAGGCATGCACAATCAGTGCTGTGACTTCATTCTGAGCTGTGCTGGGAGGCTGACTGTCGCTGTCCTGATTGAATAGTTGTTGCTGGCACTGGAAATCTCCTTTCATGTCTTGCTACTCCCTGCCCTCTTTTCTTGCTGGTTGAAGAGATACAGTATGTTTCCTGAGATCATGCCTTGGTTCAGAAATGTATAGATCACCACACTGTTGCACCTTTTTTACTTGTAGTCCAGTACATCATCTCATTTCTGTTTTCTCATCCTAACTGATCGCAGTGGTTCATGAGAGATCTGTAAGTTAAGGTCCATATGGGTTGCCAAAATTTGGTAGTTATAAATCAGTGTGGACCTTTGGTGATCTGTACAATAAACGAGGCTTAAATTGAGTGGTTTCAAGTCGAGCTGCCATAAGTCACATTGTTCCTATGAAGGAGAGGCACCCCCCCCCCTTTTTTTCTTACCAGTTCATTTGTCATTGTAGAGCTAACCGTTTTTATCTCTTGGGGACCCGGATGAGAATTTGAAGCATATGGTATACTGTTTAGCTAATGCAACTAGAACAGCTTTAGAATAGATGGTGTTTGGTTGTTTTGGGAGCAGATTTGAGCCTATGATTTATATAAACTTGTGCTGAACTCGCATTGATAATTGCCAGTGGTTTGAACTTCATCATTTGGAACTGAACACATATGTCCCCATAGAAATATTGATTTGCAAATCAATAGACAAATGGTTATGTTACAGGGATGCTCGCAGAATTGTCATTTATTCACTAAGCAAACCTTTATCGAGGATCACTGCGTTTGTGATGCCATGGTGTGT